GTTCTTAAAGCTTGAGAGAGCGATAGATGTCAGAGATGGATGGCTGGCGCTGATGCGTGTAATATGTCATCGTAACATACTGTATAATATATATGCTGTCTCTTATACACATCTAGATGTGTATAAGAGACAGCATCTAGACTTAAATTTCGACCAAATACAGCTATAATGACCGGGCGTTCTATTCGGGTGAAGACGGTAGTTAGTGGAACGGCTGAGAAAGTGCCTGGGGGGTCAAGGGGTACCAAGACTGTCTCTTATACACATCTAGATGTGTATAAGAGACAGGTCTTCACCCGAATAGAACTCCCGGTCATTATCACTGCATCTAGACTTAAATTTCGACCAAATACAGCTACTGCATCTAGACTTAAATTTCGACCAAATACAGCTATAATGACCGGGCGTTCTATTCGGGTGAAGACGGTAGTTAGTGGGACCCAAGCTGCGTCGCGATCCCCTCTGGTTGCGATATCGCTTGGCGGGGGCGGGGGCGGGGGGAGGGGAGGGGAGGGACCACGTGTCCATTGGAACCGAGACGAATTCAACGCCACGTGTAGTCTCCTACCCCGACTTGTCGGGAATCGGGATCTCCGATCATCTAAAATGATATCGGCGGTTGAGCTGGCTGGGGGTACGGCGGCGAGGCTTGGGTTTGTAGGGTCGTAGGGTCGTTGGGTTGGGTTTGTCGGGGGAGAAGAGAGTAGGAAGATAACTGGGGGGGGGGAGGGGGAGGACGGGGAGAGCAAGGGTGAGGTCCCGTTAGCAAAGAGGACTGGACTGGGAGTCTGAATCTGGATGTCGTTTCCGAAGAGATGCAGAAAATCAGTTCAATGGCAATGTTATGCATGCCCCTCCACAAAAATGTCCAGATTCAGGCGTCGAATCCACTCCTCTTTGGTCGAGAGGAGGAGGAGGCAGGAAAGGTGAGGCAGGTAGGTGAGGTAGGGTCGTCACCTCCCTTGGTTGCTATCTTTCTCTTTCTTTTTTTTGTGTTTTTTTCACCCCCSCCCCCCCCCCCCCCCCCCCMCCCCCCCCCGGCTTTTTTTTCTGTACCTACCATCTTGCTGCCACGCGCAATCAATACGAAAGTGTTACAGAGTGTTGCCAAGAACACAGTAGTAGCAGGGAGCAAGCCTGGGGCTGTTAATGCTTTGTGAGGGACGCCGGGCCCGTTTCCCGGCATTATTGACAATTCAACAATTGTTACCTTAAAAAAAAAAAAAAAAACAAGAAAAAGAAGAAAAAAAAAAGAAAAAGAAAAAGAAAAAGAAAAAGAAAAAGAAAAAGAAAAAGAAAAAGAAAAAGAAAAGAAAAAGAAGAAGAAGAAAAAAGAACACAGTAGCAATTGCAGCTACTTGTAGGGACAGAGTGATGGTAGTACCACAATGGCACTGGGAGCGAGGACCGAGGTCCCACTTAGTTTAGCAAACGGGATTGGGATTAAGCTCCTGACACAAGGCCTGAAAATCCCGAAAAAGGCAAATTTTTTGCATGAAAACACACTTTTGCCTTGGGGTTTAAGGCCCCTTTGAACCATTATTTATCACTTTTTTTTTTTTTGTTCTTTTTGCTGTTGGTTTATTTGGTGTCCAGTCTATGGACTGGTGACAAGTCTGGCTTACAAGGTGAGGGAAGTTTGTTATAATGACCCTGAAAAAAAAAAAAAAAAAAAAACTCCTGAAAATTTAGGGCTGTGTTAACTGCTTCCCCTGAATCTGGGCGTGTTTAAGCAGAGATGCAGAAAAGCCGTTCAATCTCGATTTTCTGCACCGTCAGCAAACATGACCAGATTCAGGCGTTTTCAAATTTCAATCCAATCCTCTTTGCTACCTTCTTCCCCCGAGCACAACGTACGGTCATTATAGCTGTATTTGAGGCATCTTTCAGTCTAGATACAGCTATAATGACCGTACGTTGTATTCGGGGGAAGAAGGCAGTGGGACCTCCCGCCGGCTTCTTGGTTCTACAAGTTGCATGCAGATAGAATTAGCAGTATTTTTAATACATTTTTTTCCCATTTAAGTTTTTTGTTTGGTTTTCAAATTGGTGTCTGGTTCCTAATACAGGAAGGTGCCACCTTTTTTTTTTTTTTTTTTTTTTTGGACCATTTCTCGATTTATGCGTGTCATCCTTGCGCAGGGGCCATGCTGATCTTCTCTGTATCGTTCCAATTTTAACGGATGTCCCGAAGGACAGGTACCACCTTTATGCTTGCCGATGGGGCCCTCCGGGAGCGTGGTCCCACCAGCAAAGAGGATCGGATAGAATGCCTGAATCTGGACGATGTTATGGAGATGTGCAGGAAATCGAGATTGAATTGCTTTTCTGCATCTCTGCATTAAACACATCCAGATTCAGGAGCTCGATCCTATTCTTTTTGCTAGTGGGACCTCGGCCCGGGCGCCTCCCCGGGGCCAGGTCCCACTAGCAGCGTTGAGTTTTCTCAAACTCAACGTCTGAATCTGGACGCTTTCGAGGAGATGTGCGGCTGAGAAAACTCAACGCGATTTCTGCACATATCCACAGACAAGTCCAGATTCAGGCGTTGAGGAAACTCAACGCTGCCAATGGGACCTGGCCCCCGCTGAGCTTGCCCGGTGATTCCTTGCTCACCCTGTGGAGCAGCCCTACTTTTGCAAGGGACGCGGGGGAGGGGCCGTTTCCCGGCTCGTAAAATTAATTTCTTTCCCGGCTCGTAAAAAAAAAGAAGAAAAAAGAAAAAAGAGAGGAAAAGGAAGAACACGGATTGATACAGAATTTTGTTTTGTTATTTATTTCAACATCAAGTTTCTGTGATGGAGTTTTTTTTTTTTTTTTTCGTTTTGTTTTTTTTTTGTTGTGTGTGTGTGTGTGTGTGTGTGTGTACATGATATAGAAATTTGATGGCATGTACACGGACTAAAAGGAAAGGAAGAGGGGAAAAAAAAAAAAAAAAAGGCCAACAACATTCTTCGAAACACGGATTGATACAGCAATTTGATGTATAAAAAAAAAAAAAAACACGGATTAATTAGGAATATGAGCATTGCGCCGCCACGTGCGCCCTTCAGTCGGAATCGGTGCAAACCCCGACGCGTTGCGACCAGCTGCGCGCCCGTCATCCTCAGTCGAGACACCACACGAGTGACATGACTACGGTACCAGCCGCATGGATCCCGACCAGACAGTTGAACCAACTCTGGGGCTGGCAGAGCTTCCCGCCCTGAAGGACATCCCCTTCTGTTTTTCGTTTTTTCGTTTTTTTTTTTTTTTTTGTTTTGTTAATTCTCTCTCTCTCTCTCTCTTCCTCTAGACCATGTTATCATTCATCGCTGCTACCTCGGCGCTTCCCCACCCCCCCCGACCCCGACCTCGAAAACTTCGGGTTTTAAATGGCTGCATGGCCACCCCTTCCATAAACGAAGGGACGGGCTAGATTCTAGGAACTCTTTCTTTTTCTTTTTTTTTTTCTTTTTTTTTTTCTTTTTTCTTCTTTTTCTAGGAACTCTTTCGGGTTGCAGTGAGGAGGAGGAGGAGGAGCCCCGTGACGAGGGTCCTCCTTTCTTTGTATCGGCACATTAGCCGGCACATTAGCCGGCGTAATGCGTCGGGGCAGTTGCTGGTAGTAGCAGCAGTAGCTGGGACTGCTTGTTTTTTTGGTTTTTTTTGTTTTTGTTTTTTCCTTGTTTTTGTTTTTCTTTGTTTTTTTAACTTTCTTTATTTATTTTTTTTTATTTTTCTTTTTGTTTTTTTTGTTTTTTTGTTTTTTTCCTTTTTTTTTCTGGTTTTAGGAGAGATCACCATTAAACTGACCGCCGGAATGCGTCGGGTAATTCAGAAATCCGCTAACCTACGTGTGCATGTCCAGAATTCAGACTGAGCTACGGTAGGCCTATTGCCAATTGGCTGGAACTTGAAGTTCTTGTTTTGCTTTTCTTGTTCAATGATCAGTACTACGTAAGTAGTAGCGCTGGGCCGCTGGCTCTGTCGGCGGCCCATTAGCCAATTGCCGTATTACCGCGCGGCAGGTGCCGGTAGTAGTAGTAGTGGGAGAAGAAGTAGCCGGGACTTGTTGTTTTGCTGGATTTTTGCGGACTGTAACTATGCAAGACTGTAAGTATATACCTTTGTCGGCCTTTTGGCTAAGTAAGATCAACTGTAGTATCTGTTCTTCTGATCATCAGTTTAATATCTGATCTGATCCGTGGTCCATCGGGGAAAAAAAAAAAAGAAAAAAAAAGACCAAGTACTACTATACTATACTATATAAGTAGTATGTGAGCACTTTGTAATTGTTGCGCTGATGAACGATGAGCTTGCGAGATGGCAGCAGCAGCGGCAGAACCGGCAGCTGTGTCGGCTGGCCACATGTCCGCCGGAGCTAGTCAAGGCCCCTCGACAACGTCAGTCTGCTATACCGAGAGAGAGAGAGAGAGAGAGAGAGAGAGAGAGAGAGAGAGTCCACGGCAGCTAGTCAAGGTC